CTGAACTTGAGGAAACATCCACTTGGAGCCAGGCTCCCTTTGCTCCTCTCCAGACTCTCTGAACAGGGAGAAAAATTTAGGGATAAGTTTGCAATTGCAGCTAGTGCCGCACCTACTAAAAATGAGTGTGTGCCAACAAAGAGTATCCGAGAGACTGGCTCTCCCTAACCAGTTCCCAGTCAGCTGCTGTAGGAGGTGCTGCAGATACCAGGAACAGGCACCCTTCCTTCATCTTGCTCATTTTGAACATTGCTGCTAATAGGACCCAAATGTTCCTAATGGAAATGTGGGTTAGGGACCTTCTAGCCTTTTCTAGTTCTTATGTGACCATGAATCATGGGTGAGCCCAGGTGAAACCAGCAGAGATAAAATCAATTTCTGTAGTTGAAGCTGCCCAGTCTGTACTATGACGACTGTAGCAGACAACTGCCCCAGTCTCTGTCAACCAAACCAAACAAAGCTGAGGCAAGGCAAATAGAGCAGAGATCTCATCTTGGCCAGGGTGGGATGACTGCCCAGACACCACAAAATCCAAGTTGTCCCGGATAACGCAAGCTAGTGTGTTACAGATTTCCGGATGGTTTTAAAGGTCAAAGTCGTGAAAAGAAGGGTGGGATACGAGGAGTCTTGTCCAGCAGGGATTGGCTAAATTCTATGAGGGAAGCCTCATGGGCACCTGGAGTCACTTTGCTCAGTCTTAACCAGAGTGTGGAGACAGTGAGTCTGGGAAGTAAAGGAGGGATGTACTTGGGCAACAGGCTATCCACAACACAAACTCCCATGAGCCTAGGCAGCATCTCGAGCTAATTCGGGTGCACATTTCTAAGAAAACCACAAAATGTGCATAAGTACTGATGTGGGTAGACTAGAATCTCCTGTTTTCAGGAAGACGTGGTCTATTTGGGAGACCCATCAGCTTCCTTAAAGTTTCACTTGATGACATGACATTTTAACATGACTGACTCCATTTTGGTCTGATCTGTTGGGGCCTAGCACAGAAACTAAGTTTAAAACAATGGCCTCCTAACATTTTTATTTAACATGTTTTAGTACAAATCTGCAGGAGACTTCTTGAAAAATAGTATTCAAACTATGACTTTAACTTAAACTTTCTTTTCCAACTTCTTTTTTTTAGTTATTTATTATTATTATTTTTAATTTGACCAGAGAGAGATGGGGGGGGGAATGAAAAGATAAGCTACCAGGTCTAAGAATCAAACCGTGTTCAACCACATGGTGTAGTCCGGCACCTTAACCACCATGCCACTTGCTAGCCCTCTTTTCTGACTTCTTTTATAGCAAATGAAGAAAAATATCTTGTGTACCCTCTTTTTACCTATGCCAAAGCTGAATATTTTTGAGGCACTCTTTCTATCTCAAACTTTAAAGACAAACAAATAGTATTTATTGTAGTATCTTTTTAGTGAAGGATCTATTATCGCTGTTTGAAAAATGCAGACAAGCATGAAGAAGAAAAATGAAATCACTCACAATCTTCTACTCTAGACATAATCACCAATGCAAAATTCAACCTTTTTAATTTTAATTAAATTTTTTAATTTGCTGGAGGATACATGTGCTCTTGGAGAGAATGCAAGTGAGAAAGCACCCCCCCTGGGGGATAGCCACATCACAGTCCCTTCTTCATTCTCAGGGATTTGGGGCATGCAGGCACACATGTCTGGCATGTTTTTCAGGCCACCAAGTCCGGGACTTGAACTGTGCAGTCAGCCACATGAGATCCAGACACCTTAAGTAAGCATCAAACTAACAGCAGGCTGCTACAACTTTTAAAAGACATTTTTCCTTACCAAATCCTTCTTCAAGACTTTCCAGAGCAATGATGGCTCATGGCAGTCAGGAAGACAAATGGGAGAAAACACAGTGTCACTCAGGCTCATTTCTCCCAGGGACTGGAAATCAGGATTGCAGAGAACAACGATCAGGAAGTAGGTGGCATGACTGAAATCATGTGAGAGTGACCAGGGCCTGGGCTTAAGTGACAACCTCAGGTCCTTGCCGTCACTCCACAGCATTCATTTGTTCAGTGAGATTGATTTATGAAGTGGCTACTGTGTACTGGGTGTCCTGCAAGGTTCTGGAAATACATAGACCTCCCTGGGGGACCGTGAGTAATCCAGTTGTTGTTGGTTAGGAAGGGGTGTGGATACACAAATACATATGGGCAAAGAGTGATAGCAGTATTTAAGTTTGCAGCTGTGTGGTACCAGGCCCCCAGACTGGAGGTCAGGGCAGACATTGGCAGACCTCAGGTGTAGGTTCTGGTGCTGAGTATAGCATAGCAGGGATGACACAGACAACAGAGAAGCCTGGCCCCATGCCAGAAGCAACTTCCTGCACCACTTCCCCTAACAGTGAATGAAAATGAATGAATGCTCTTTAAAAAAGAAAAGAAAAGAAAAGAAACAAAAGAAAAACGCAGCTCGTAGACTTTCATTACATCTCTTCAGTGGAGAATTTACAGAGTGCTTGTCGTGCTTGAGTGAGCCGGTAAATTCTCTCCTTTAGGAATCTTCTCTTGGTGGCTGTCTCACCTTGTTCTTGAAGCAACCAGGAATAGCGCTCTTTCTCCTGCAGTATCTGCATCATGGCTTTCTGTAACCAGTTGCCATTGTCTTGAAGCACAAAAAACTGAATTATGAATGGGATCTGGTTGGCAAGACGTTTACTGGTTTCCTGGAAAAGGAGGTAAGAAGAGTTAGCCGAAGAGGTCTTGGCCTGAGGCCTGTGGTTGCAGAGAGGCCTAGGGTCATTGGGTACATGCCTGGCTGCCTTACTAAGCCCTAGTGAGCCTACCCATCTACAGTCCAGGGTGAAGGTTTTATGTAAACTGTCCCCTTAGTCTCCTAGTCACTCCTCTGGTACTGAGAACCACCTTGGTAGGCTAGGAAGCCCATCCTTCCTTCTGGGCATCCTAGACTTCCCAGGAGCTCTTCCCCCTTCCCTTTGGAGAGACGCCACAGCCCTTGATGCCCCTGACGACTCTGAGGGTAGATCAGGACCTGCTCAGTCTCTCTTCATTCCCTGTCTTCATGGGCATGGCCAGTTTGCATGGCATGGTCCAAAGGCTGTGCAACTCCACACTCTATTCTTTAAGAGCTGGATTTCTCTGCATTTTAAGAGTGACCCCCCTCCCTGTGCACCCTCAGACTTGCACACTGGATGGACGGTCAGAAGCCACAGAGTTGATAGGATTGCATAGACTCAGAGAAGGAATTTTCATTCCTGTGTGGTGTAGTTGGCGAGCCTGAGGCACGTTGAGAGCTGAGTGCCTTTCCAAACTGTAAGGAAAACTAAATTCGAGCCAGCCTAGTTCAGGTGGGTGGTATTTTGCTCTGTTCCGACAAGAGTAATTTCAGAATTCATGCAATTGTATAAAATATAAGGAACATTGGAGTCAGAGTGAATTTTGAGTACATGTTCTGTACCTCCACAAGGTTCTTGTAAAATTATAAATGAGACAATATATGGGCACTTTAGCTCAGTACAACAGGACTTAAACCATCATAGTGGTACCTCGTTGGTCCCTCCATCAAGTCCCCCTGGTTCAGAACACCTGACTCTCCACTTGGCAAACTGCAGAGCACACGGATCCTGTGCAAATGGGAGCTCACCGAGAAATAGGCATTCAGGTGGACGCCGATTTCCGTAATGGCCGAAACTGGAGACAAATCATTTATGACACAGGAATTCGGATGAATATTATGTGAAGGCTTCTCTACGGGGTTAAAGAGCTCTTCCCGGACTTTCTTCAGAACGACACTGTAAATCTGATCTTGGCAGTATACCAGCTTCTCCATTTGGAACTGAAGCTGGATCATGTTCTCTGCTTTTTCTGCCTGTTTTATTTTTATGTCTTCAATTTTGCTCTGGGGTTAGATGAGAAAGATGAACAGGTTACTTTCTTTTTCTTCTTGTTCAAACAATTTAGCAAGTACTATGGGGCTGGACCCAGGATTAAATGTATTCCATGATTGGGGCCAGCAGGTGGAGTGGTGAAGGTACTGGACTTCAACATGGCTAACCACGGTTCGAGTCCCAGACCTGGTGGCTTACTTTCTCACTTTTCTTCTCTCTCATTCTCACTACCTCTCCCTGGTGAGCACACATGCCCTATAGCAAATTTTAAAAAATAATAATAAATACAATTGAATTAACAATTCTAAAGAAATAAGTAATTCATGATCAAAAAAGGTCTAAGGGTTTCCGTGGTGATTTGTAGCCAGTCCCACCTCCCTGTCTTGGCCCTCCTCATCCATCCTGCATGCACATGGCCAACCTGTTCCTCTCCCGCCTCCCTCCCTCTTTGCCCTAGCCCTTCACTACTCCTCACACCACCATCTTCCCGCTTATCCCTCAGGTCTGGCCTGTTTTCACGAGGGTGTCAGCCAGTCGTGTGGCTCTACTTTGCTTTAATTCAAGGCTTCAAGGATTCCAGCACTAATGAACACTATGGGATAATCATTTGATTTACTCATTTTCCAGAAATCCTGAGACTTCTACCTCACTGCCAACATAGTCAAAGGCATTTTGGGAAAGAAAGAGATGACAGAGCAGAATCGTTGCAATGAACTAAGTCTTTGCATCGCCTCAGTTCACAGGTCGAAATCCTTATCCCTAGTGTTAGGAGGCAGGACCTTGGGGAGGTGATTAAGGCATGAGGGAGGGGCTCTCATGCATGGGACTGGTGACCTTATAAAACCATCTCTGAGCCAGGAAGCAGTGCTTACCAGACGCTGATCTGCCGGCACCCCAGTCTCTAGAACTGTGAGCAAGAAATTTCTGTTGTGTATGAACTACCAGGTTTATGCTGTTTTGATATAACAGAGATTTTTTACCATAGGGTGTGTGCCCTTGCGGGATACACAGAGAGACTGAAAGCAAGAAACCATCCCCCAGGGGTGATGGCCATTCGGCAACCCCCTCTCTTCCATCCTCCTCTCAGGTTTGGGAGCATGCATACACATACACCTGGCATGAATTTCAAGCTGCCAGGTCCAGGACTTAAACCACAGTCAGCCATGTGGAGTCCAGTGCTTTAATCAGTAGATCATCTGCTGGCCCCATAGATAGGGTGTGTTTTTAGTAGGGTCTTGCCCTGCCATGATCTGCCTGCCCAGGCCTCCCAGCTAGCCAGGAGCACAGGTGTGTATCCCTGCACCTGCCTTTTAGGTTGACCAGGGAACTGACTCAGGCCTCCCACATGGCCCAACCTTGTTCAGTAGTGCCCCACAGCCTGTGCCAGTGCAGTGGACCCTTCTCTTCCCTTTACCAAGTGATGGTTCAGGGGAGAGTTGCTAAGTGGAAATCTGCAGGACTGTGGCAATATTCTGATATAAATTTTGGAATAGGACTAGTAGACAATGTTGTTCTTTATGCTTGAAAAAGATTCAAACTACCAGACAGTCACTGGGTATGGTCATAGATGATATGGGGCTATCATCATCAAGCCCGGTCCTGTAAGACCTTGCAGAACCTAGAGCAAGGTGCCATGCCTAGCTTCTTTCTCCCTTGGTGTGGAGACCAGCTCCTGACCAGTAGCAAGGCAGGCAGTGTTCCTGGGGCCACCAACCCAGCCATGCAGCCCTGCAATCCTGGCCTCAGATTCCCAAGCAACAGTAACCATCTGACTTCTTTCAAAAGTCAGACTCACAGCCAAGTGGCTAGCAAATGAACTCTGGGTGGCTTACCTGGGCTGTTCTGTTAAGGTTAGCAAATTCACCGAAATTATTTTGGGCTGTGACGATGAAAGCTTCCTGGACAAGTTCTGACCAAAGGAAGAAAGAAAAAAAATCAGTAATACAGAAATAGGAATGAAATACATTAAAGAGGCTTATGATATATCAACCGACCCATTAGCCAATGCCTATTCTGAATCCTCGTAGCAGATCTTATCACTCTAACATGAATCGGAGGACAACCTGTTGAACACCCATTCATCCTCATCGGCCAAGTAGCCACCCCATTCCAGAAGGCCAGTCTTAAAGAGGAGAGGTGGTACACAGTTCTAAGAACCCAGCTGCCACCCACCCTGAGTAAGGAGCAGGTCTCATGTCTTCTGCCCCTTCATGGGGTGTCTCTGATCCATACTTGGCATCTGCCCACCTTTCAATAGCTGCACCAAGGGTTGTGTGTGATAACTTAAAAGCTCAGTCCTTTCCCCTCCCTCCCCCAAAGACAGGGGAAGCCATCGTTCCACCCTACCCCTTCACATGCTTGATGGACAGTGACAGGAAGTCCCTTCCTCACTACAGTGCAGCCCTTTCAAACTTGTTTTGTTTTGTCTTAGAGTTTTGCCATAGGGTTCATGCACTCACCAGAGAGAGAGGCAGTGAGAGGGAAAGTGAGAAACCAACCCCCCAGGGTGGATACCCATGCCACATTCCCTTCTCCTCCATTCTCCTCTTGGGATTCTGGGCATGCATGCATGTGTACTTGGCAAGATTTCCAAGCCACTTGGTTCAGGACTAGAACTGTGGTCAGCCATTTGGGAGTCCAGTGCCTTAGCCACTATACCACCTGCTGCCCCTCAATCTTCTTATTTGAGATAAGGTGTCTCTATGTCACTATCCTCCTGCCTTGGTCTCCTCTGTAGCTGGGACTTTATAGTCTCATGTAGCCTGGATTTTAGTGGGTCTGGGAATTGAACCTGTGCCTCTCATGTAGCTTCTGCCTACTATGTAGCAGCATGTACTACTGTGCTTAGACCCTCTCAAGCTTTAATGTATCTTCAAATCACCCTGAGACCTTGGAACAAGCTCTCATTCAGAAGATCAGCATATGTAGTCCTGGGCAGCCCCACACTGAGCTGATGCCATCAGCCTGGGGACTACACGGAGTGGCAATCTAGCATGCTGGAGAGGGAGTCTGCAGACAGTTCTTCTCTGTGGAAGGCCCTGAGCGATCCGAAAGTCATGCATGCCGGGTACTCACCAACAATTTTCTGGAGCATGTCAAGTGCAGGGTTGACCAGTTGTTGGATGTACTGCTGCACGATGTTCTGGAACGTCTTATAGTTGACAAATCCTGGAAGCTCTTTGCCACGATACTGCTTTTCATATTTCGAGACTTCTTCATGAATAATATTTTTCACTGCAATGTGAAACAAACTACCATGGTGAATTCTAATACTCCTGCAGACATTTTATTGTGTAAAGATCTTTTAAAAAACTTTGTTTCTTCCATGAGCAAGAAAGAGTGTCATAAGTGAGACAGTAACTCCAACAGGGTCTCCATGCTGCAGTCCATCCCAGCCTCAGCAGCCTCAGGTCATGGGCACATACGTGCCCGGTGTACTCAAGGAGTCTCTGATCGCAAACCTGGGACCTTCCCCTGTGGGTCCGCTAGGCAGAGTGTCTTGTTACTGCTGCACCACTGTCTGGACCCTCCATAGACACTTTAAAGGTAGGTGCCATTGCTTCTCATGGCAGCCTGATGCAGTGTTTCAAAGTGGAGTTTTGTTCATCATGAAAAAATAGTCATGATCTGATAATGCCAGTTCAAGAATTACTGACTTTTGAGAAATAAAAAAAATCATATTCTATGAAAATGTTTCAGTGAAGAATCATTACCCCAAGAGAGAGTTCGGGGTTTAAAACTGGTTAAAAAATATCTGAGTACTTATATGAAAATAGAAACAAAGATTTCTGTTCTACTTACAGACCTCCCAAGCATGCACCCAAAGAGACTAGTGCTGATCTGACCAAACACAGGTACAATGACACTATCAACACACACACACACACACACACACACACTCTGGCACCTGGGCTGGAGCACGAACACAGAACTGTGCTGGGTGAAGCAGGGGGACTCTTGCCAAACTGCGAGTGTCTGATTTTGTATTAGGGGCAGAGAAAGAGAGGAGTCAGGGTAAGTTGACCTGGATGTGGTTCAACAGTAACAAAGAGCTGCTCCTTTGAGTCTTTTCTTTGCTTATTGCTAAAACCAGATTATTGTACCCTCCACCCTTTGGGGGAGAGGGGGCGGATGATTTCATGTGCACTCACCTCCCCCAGCTCCTGACAGCCTTGCCTCTCTCTGCCTCCACACCACTGAAGTGAGAAATATCCCAGGTCACCTTTTCTACCAAACTGCTCCTTATCAAGGCACCATGTCTGGTGCATCTGTGATGGCCACACAGCCACCACGTGGGCACTGAACACTGCAGTGGCTGGAGAGCCTTCGATGGGGCCGGCTCCAGTGTCATCAGGGGCCCTGGCATTGGTATAGGCTCTCCTCCCAGGTCCCCTGAGTTGCTTGCACACTTCTCAGATGGATGTCAAATGACAATTAGCCTCGAAACAAAAGAGCAAGAAGGAAGGTGGTGGAACTCTTTTGTGTTGAGTTGGGGAGCACAGTGCTCCCCAGAGAGGGGTCTCCATCATTGGGAAGCAGCTCCTGATTTCTAAGGGGCCCACATTCCTTGGGCAGGCACATTCAGCAATTTGCACACTTTCACATGCCGGAAGTAGCTTCTGGTGTCCATAAATATGACGTCACTTTTAGGGGAGCCCCACCCCGGGACTTACCTTTCTGGGTATTGGCTGCAAGAACAAGTACCCAGTTTTTAAACTCCTCTCGGATTTTGTTATACAAGCGGGTCTCCTTCTCCCTTACAATTTCTTCTCCTTCTACTAACTTTTCAACGTCCTGATTAAACACCTTAATTTTCTGAAAGTGAGATAAAGTCATTAGTCTGTGTTGCAGTCAAAGAGCTGAGACCCAGGCAGCATGTGCGATGCCAGGGCAGGGGAGTGCAAGGTGACCACTCCCCCAAACACCTCATCTCCCAGGCGAGACAAAGGAAGGCCACACGTCCACTGGTGGGAGCACGGTGGGAGTGCTGCCTCCAGGCGGTTTCTGTGCCTCGGGGTCACGTGGAGCTTGGTGGAAAGTCTCACCTCGATCAGAAAGAACATCTTGTCGGTTTCCTGGGTGGGGATGTCGGCTCCACACCGGCGCAGCTCCTCTGTCGCCCCCTGGTGGCGCTCCCTGATTTCACTTTCCAGCGAAGGGAGTGATTTCTGAAGGAAAGGTAATTTGCAAAAGATGAAATGGTGTCGCTTACTCAAGTAAGCTGACAGGTGTAGAATCCCACTTTAAACCACTCAGGAGGCATTCGCATTTCTCTGATTGTACGAAATCTGTTAAGATGGAAGCTTGTTAAGGAGCCTAAAGAAGGCGGGTCCCTACATGCTATGGGTATGTACAGTTTGTACCTACAGGCAGAAATACAGTAACTGTCGTCCCTCTGAACTTTCAAATGATCAATATCACAAGTGAGTATTGATTTTAGTTTTTCAAAAATTAATTTTAATGTTAAACATTTTAAGTTAAAATATTCAAGTGTTCAGAAAAAGTTACCAAAGAAGTTAGCAAAATACAACACATTTTTGCAAAATATATATATCTCTTTTTCTCCCCCAGTTTGACAGAATACTATTTTCAGAGCTCTCCTCTGAAAACTTAGAGGATTTTACCAGAATCAGTAGTCCTCAAAATATATTCCCAAGGTCACATAGAACATAGAAAAGTGAAATCATGAATCCCACCCAGGACCTGCTGAATTTGAAACTGAAGCTGGGCCCAGAGCCCGAGTTTTCACAAGCTTTCCAGGTAATTCTGGTGTGTACTCAAGTTTGAGAACCATTAGAGCCTTCCAACCAAATAATCTCTGAGAGTATACTTTCTGGCTCAGAGAACTCACAGCTTTTGTCGGACACACCGTTTAGTATGGACTAGGACACAGGCTGGGAATTATCTCTGCTCTGAGAGTCAACATCAATCTTCCCATTCCGTTAGCTCAACCTCATGGTGAAGGTTTGGGTAAGTACTACAAAGATTTTGTCTCTTAAGTACTAAGCTGTAGTTTTCCTTAGTTAATGATGTGACAACTTCGCAGTTGTCTATGTTTGAAAATCAATCAAAAAAAAAAAGGATTTATTTGTTACAAGCTCATTTGTAACGAAGTTTGAGACTGGGAAAATGTTTTTATATTGTGGAGTACTAACCTGTTGAAAAAAATGAAAATTATTTGCTCTCCCACTGCCTGCTTTTTTACTGCTAAACTGGTATTATAGTTTCCTTCTCTCCCTTTTACTCCCCTGAACTGATTCTGCTCTCCTGCAACACTAGGCAATTGTTGCCTTTCCCAGGCCAGAAGCTCTCCTGTGGGCCTGTGCCCAGGGCCGGTAGGTTTTCCTAATGGGCTTGTTAGTTGGTGTGCGGCAGCTCAGTGGGGCATCTTAGCCAAGTCAAGAGAGAGTGACCAGGCAGGCTGCAACCTTTGGAACTTGTAGGCCAACCCACAGACTCACTCTGATGTGCGCGATGAGCTCGGCCGTAAGTCTTTCTGCCAGATGGGGTACCGTGGCCTTCTTTTCCTCCAGGAAAACTCTGAAACACGACAGAGCACTTGTGAATTCAGGAAAGACCCATGTGACTATTTTTTCTGGACTGGGCTTTGTAAGTGGGCAGGAGAGCTCAGTGCCCTGGGCTGAGTACACAGTCAGAAGCACCAGCTGGAGCCAGGTGATATCACAGTGGGAAAAGAACTAGACTCACATAGGAAGGTCCTGGGTTTGTGTGCCAGAACTTCCCTGTGCACATGGGGCCCATGCACGCATGCCCATGATCCGGGCTAGCTAAAACTGGCAGTGGATTGTGGCGAGAAGACCCTGTTGGAGATACTTGTCTCTCTGTCTCTGTTTCCCTCTCTTATGGAAGAAGAGAGAAAATAAATTTTTAAAATAAACTTTACAAAGAAAAAGAAAGGCCAAATGATGCACGAGAAAGACAGGTATTGCTCATAGGGCCAGCCTATATCCAGGTAGTCATGACCTGGGTAGTTCCATCCTTTTTTTTGAGAGAGAGATTTTTGTTATAGGGCACATGTGCTCATCAGAGATACAGAGAGACAGAAAGTGAGATATCCTTCCCCCAGGGAGGATGGCCATGCCACAATCCCTTCTCCTCCAGTCTTCCCTTGAGATCTTGGGCGTGCCCAAACATGCACCCAGCATGAGTTTTAAGTCACCAGGTCCAAGACTTGAACTGTGGTTGACTATGTGGGAGTCCAGTGACGAAACCGTTACACCATCTGCTGGTTCACCCATTTTCTCTTTTTATCATCCCAACAAACTCACCTTGTGTATAAGAAAACAATACAGACCTACCCCATAAAGGCTAAGCAGCCTGCCCAAAGTAATTTTTCTTCTCTCTCTCTCTTTTATTTTTTTGTTTGTTTAGGTTTTTGCCATAAGGTGTGTGCACTCACCAGAGAGACCCAGAAAGAGACAGACAATGAAAGAAAAGTGAGGAATTATTCCCCAGGGGAATGGCCATGTAGCAACTCCTTATTCTCCATTCTCCTCTTGGGATTTTGGGCACATTCACACACATGTCCAGTGTGAATTTCAAGCCACCAGGTCTGGGACTCAAACCATGGTCAGCCATGTGGGAGTCCAGAGCCTTAACCACTATGCCATCTTCTGGCCCCTCATTTTTTCTTTTCTTTTCCTTTTTTTAAAAAAATAGATTTATTTAATTTTATTTATTATATTTTAAATTTGTTATAGGGCATGTGCACTCACCAGAGAGAGACAGAGAGAAAGAGACAGACAGACAGACAGACAGAGGAAGTGAGAAAACAAGCTGCCAGGTCCGAGACTCAAACCGTGGTTGCCATGTGGGAGTCCAGAGCCTTCACCACCATGCCACCTGCTAGCCTTATAACTGTTTCTTTTTTAATTGCCAGAAGGTGTGTGCACGAGAGAGAGAGAGAGAGAGAGAGAGAGAGAGAGCACCCCAGTAGGGCATGATCACACCATGAATCCTTTCTCTTCCATTTCTTCATCCTGTCGAAATTCTGGACACATGCCAGGCCTGTTTTTCAGGCCATTAGAGATAGGATTCAAACCACAATTGGCTAAGTGGAATCTAGCTCCCTTAACTATTAGGCTATAGAGCCTAATAGTGTATGTATTTGTTTACTTTTAGAGAGATTTTCACTATAAGGGTGCATGTGCTCGCCAGAGACACAGAGAGAGTCAGAGAACAGAAAGCGTGAAATCACCCTCTGGGGGAACGACCTTGCCACAATCCCTTCTCCATTCTCTTGGGATTTGGGGTACATGTGCACATGCACCCGGCTTGCATTTCAAGCCTCCAGGTCTGGGACTCGAACTACAGTTGACCATATGGGAGTCCAGCAACATAATCATCACGTCATCTGCTGGCCCCCATTATTTTCTTTCTTATAACAAATATGTATTGGTGCTTTCTGAGTGTCAGGCACCATGCTGAGGGCTTTTCAGATATTAACCTATTTAATCATTTAACAACCCACATTAGAGGGAGGAAAGCTGAGGCACAGAGAGGTTAAGTAGTTTCCCAGGCAGTCTGGCTGTGGAGTATTTGCTATCAACATGGATTCCAGAAGGACAGGCTCCCGTCGGATTGCTTTATCAGTATTGAGCCCAGCACCTCTCCCTGCAAAAGCTGGCTCCTAACAGACGGGCGCTCAAGGATTTAGACTCAGTTGTTCAACAATAAAACCCTTCAACACACTTTCTCATGTAAAATGACAATATTCTCAAAGTCTTTAAGTAGTGTTTTTTATTTTTTTTTATTTTTTGGAGAGGTTTTCGCTATAGGGCACATGCACTCGCCAGACAGACAGAGACATAGAGACAGAAAGCAAGAAATCACCCCCCCCCCCGGGGGGATGGGCACGGCCCAATCCCTTCTCCTCCATTCTCCTCTCGGGATCTTGGGCACGCATGCACATGCGCCTGGCGTGAGTTCTAAGCCACTGGGTCTGGGACGCGAACTGCGGTCGACTATGTGGGAGTCCAGCGACATAGCCATTACACTAACTGCTGGTTCCCAAGTAGTGTTTCTTAAAGTGTGAACATTGGTATCAGCCTCCACTGGGAACTTGTCAGGAACATTAGCTCTTGGGCTCCACCCTAGACCAGGGGACAAGGTAAACTAGATTTGTGAACTCTAGAAGATTCTGTTGCTCTCTCAGGGTTGAGAACCATGGATCTGACTATGATGGAATCTTCTCTCTGCTCAGTGAGGAGTTTCCTTCACATAGCCCCAGTGCTATAGAAACCAATTTGTTTCTTCCATTCAGGTCAGAAGCAGAGAGAATGAAAGAAGAAACTGAGAAGGTATTAAGTATTGATTGTTGGTGTACAAAGACCTTCATGCATGTCATATTTTTAATTCCATTTGTCTAATCTTCATAATCCTGTGAAGCAGTAGTGGGAGCCCCTTGAGTAGACGAGAAAGCGAAAGCTGCAGAGAGAATGACCCATTCCCAAGAGCAATTAGCAAACCTGGGCTGTCTCTATTCCTGCTCCCACAGTGTCTCCCTGTAGCAGGCATGACCTCGGTCTTAGTGTCCTGCTTCCACAGTGTTCAGGAAGAGCAAATTCCAGAATAAAATGAAAGAGCAAAGTGCCCAATTTCAAGGGGAAAAATGCCAGAGTCCTGCAAACTGCAGTCTCTCTAGGGTAATTTATATTTAGTAAAACCAGTTAGTTTTTGGGCTCTAAACAGGTGGAGGTTCCCACAGCACAGGTTTTAATGTGTATCACTGATGATGACATAGGTTCTGGATGATAGGAGACCTCTCTCTAGTCCTGTTTCCGTTCACCATTTGTTTAACCTCATTGTCCTTATCTACAAACATGGAAAGAACCTTCACTGCCTTATGTGTCTCTCAAGATCTTGTAGGACTTAAAATGAGAAAGTGGGACCCAGATGGTAGTGCAGGAATAAAATGTGATATTTTATGATTTTTACTGATAAGGGACAGTTTGGGGTTCATATCCAAAGACTTCCAACCACGTATGCCAGGTATACATAGACCATGGTCTGGCGCTGGCCGAGTCTGGGGGTGGATCGTGGCATAAGACCCTGTTGGGAATGCTGCCACTCTCTCCAGGTCTCTTGCTCATGAAAGAAATAAATAAGCAAACTTATAAAACAAAATGAGGGGGCCAGCAGGTGGTATGGCGATTAAGGCGCTAGACTACCACAAGGCCAACCACAGTTTGTGTTCTAGACCTAACGACTTGATGTCTTACTTTTTCTCTCTCTCTCTCTTTTTCGATGGTGAGTGCATGAGCTCTATAGCAAATTTAAAAATAATGATAATAATAAAATTTAATACATAATTCTTAAAAAGAAAAACCAAGCTGAAAAAGCATATAAAAACATTTTAGGAAACCCAAGTGCTCTATGTTTCACATAATATCACATTCTAATTTTTTTTTTTAAGTTTTTGCCATAGGGCATGTGTGCTCACAGGAGAGGCAGAAAGAAAGAGACAGTGGGAGAGAAAGTGAGACATCACCCCCAAGGGAAGATGGCCATGCTACAACCCCTTCTCCTCCATTCACCTCCTGGGATTTTGGGTGTGCATGCACATGTGCCCTGTTTGAGTTTCAAGCCATTGGACTTGAACCATGCGGGAGTCCAGTGCCTTAGCCACTATGCCACCTGCTGGCCCCTCACATCACAATTTTTAATCAGGGTCATCATTAGAGACGAAGAAACAATCACTTGTTTATGTAAGTCAATACATTTAACAGTAAAGGCAGGGATAATTGTACAATTATTATTAAAGTCACCATATACTTTTTTTTTTTTTTTGGAGAGGTTTTTGCTATAGGGCATGTACGCTTGCCAGAAAGAGAGACGGAAAGTGAGAAATCACTCCCAGGGATGATGGCCACGCCACAATCCCTTCTCCTCCATTCTCCTCTCAGGATCCTGGGCACGCACGCACACGTGCCTGGCGTGAGTTTAAGCCACCGGATCTGGGACTCAAACCACTGTCGACTACATGGGAGTTCAGCGACATAGCCATTACTCTAACTGCTGGTCCCATAAAGTCATCATAGACTTTTATATACAATTTACGTATCATCTTGGCCAATTCTGGTAGGTGGAGAGGGGTTTCATGGCATTTAATTCCAGGGCTGTCCTAAAGAGTCTCACCTGAAGTGTGGATGTGACTGGAAGAACATCAGTTCTTTCCTGGTTGCCTCTGCCAAGCTCAGGTTATTCATGATCTCCTGCTGGCCCCGGCACTTCACTATCATGTAGCCTTTCTTCAGCGGGAACGTGAGGTTCTGCAGCACATTCATGACGCTTTTTTCAGAGCCTTTATCCACTAGATCTGGTTTGGTCAGGATCCCTGGGAGAGGGTTACAGAAGGGAATGGAAAGGTCAGGTCCACCCTTGTATATACCTGAACACCGCTAGGCAATGGGCTCCTTTTTTGGTCAGAATCCATGAAGTTCTGTAGCCTTGATCCTCCAGTGCCTGACAGATATTCATCCCCATTGTTGTCACCTCTCACTCCTTCCTCTTATTTGTATTTTCTTTGCCTCACCTACTCATCCTCTTGCTCAATTCATTCAAGGCCTTATACAATGTATTCAACAAATAGTTCCCAGATGCCTGCTGGGTGCCAGGCCTCGGGGCAGCACACATCGTCACAAGCTGGCTCCATCCACCATGGTTCCAGAAGACCTTGTTCCCTACTGTAAGGAGGATCTGGGCCCCCTTTCTAGTGTCTCCTGCACAGGCTCATTCTGCCCCCCTCTGTGGGCAACTCCTCTCTCCTTCTCCTCTCTGCTTTCCTCTTCCATTCTTTTGCACCCCACCTCTCCTTCTTGCTCTTGTTGAAATGAAAGCTTTGAATTCCAGGTACCTATTTTGTTGGTGGTCTTTGATTGTCAAATTGCTGCTGCATCTTCCTAGTTTATTGGCAACCTGAAGGTTATACTCTGCTATATTGTCTTTAGTTTCAACTTGTGGTTAAGTCTAGCCATCTCGTCTACTGTTCCCTGACACTTCCCTGGCACGCCAGCTATCAATTGACTTTCTCTTTCTGTGTTAATCTTTTTATTACCAAAAGTTGTCGCAGAAGAACATCATCTCTGTATTCACTAGAAGTTTGAATAGGGGCCAGTAGGTGGCATGATGGTTGAGGTACTGGTTCCCATAAGGCTGACTTCACAGTTTAAGTCCCCAACCTGGAGGCTTAAAACACACCGGGTGCATGTGTGTACTTGCCCTAAATATGAAGAGAATGGAGGAGAAGGGATTGTGCTGTGGTCATCACCCTTGGGAGATGATTTCTCACCCCCTCCCGACCTCTCTCTCTCTCTCTGACTATGGTAAGCACATAGTACCCTACAGAAAATTTAAAAAATTAAAAAGTTTGTGTGAGCACAGCCTTACATGTTCATAAAAGAGCCAAGCAGTCTCTGAATCTACTTTTCTAATTTTTACAAGTAACAGAAAGGAACTTCCACTAGCAGGAGAAGCAGCCAGGAAGACCTTCCCTGGAACCACCATTAGCATTCATTCTTGAAAGCTTAGATCATTATTCTGTACAAGGTTAAAAAACAAAACAAAACATACTTCTCCCCAGAGACAGATACAGTGAATAAATGTATACAAAAATAATAATAATTTAAAAAGATGAAGGTGGGGGGTCCTGATCTTTTGACATAGTGGCTAAGGCACTGGACTCCAATATGGCCAGCTGTGGTTCAAGTCCTGGACCTGGAAGCTTGCAACTTATGCCAGGCGTGTATGCATTTATGCCCAAAATCTGGAGAGGAGAATGGAGGAAAAGGGATTGCAGCATAGCTATCCCCCACCACTACCCCGGGGTGTGTGTGTGATTTTTTGCTTTTTTTGCTTTCTCTGTCTCTGTCTCTGTGGTGAATGCATGCATCCTATAGCAAAAATCTCTCTCTCTGAAAAAAAAAAATCAGGGGAGAACCAACAGGTGGCATGGTTGTTAAGGCACTGGATTCATACATGACAAACCAGAACTCGAGTTGTGCGCCTGGCAGCTAGAATTGGTGGAGAATCTGCAAACTTTTTGACTCACTGTCTCTTTGAAACATATTATTCTATAAACCACAATTATATTATTTATCAAAATGACTCTGTTTTCACCCTTTGGGAGTATTGCATAGATATTCATTCCATTCCCATTTTAAAATACACTTAACTTATGTCTGCAAGGAATAACTCAGCTAATGAAAATATGGCGCTTTCTGTCACCATTCCATTCTCAGTTTTGTTGTTTAAAACACATTTATTTTAAAAAAAAATGACAGGTAAAATACACATAATGTAAAATGTGTTATTTCACTGTTTTAAGTGCACAATTCAGGGCATCAGTACATATACATTATTGTACAGCCTTACCGCCATTTGTCTCTGGCTGTTTTTCTTCTTGCAAAACTGAAAATCTGTACCCACTAAACAGCATTGCCCACTCCACCGCTCCCGGCCCCTGGCAGCCACCGTTGTGCTTTCTGTCTCTATGGATTTGACCGTACAGAAGTCGCAGTGGACTCACACAGTCTTGGTCCTTTTGCTACTGGCATATTTCACTTCGTGTAACGTCCTCCAGGTTTACCTGTGTTGTAACACGTGTCAGAATTTCCTTCATTTTAAAGGCTAAGTAATGAACCATTGCTTGTATGCAGTACATCACATTTGGTTTAACCATCCATCCATCAGTGGACACTTGAGTTGCTTCTACCTCTTGGCTAGTGAAGAATGCTACTATGCACTTGGGTGAACATTCCATTTCCCTTTTCAATGGAACACACGTTTCCCTATTCTCTGCTTGACCTAGAAGATTTGTATTTATGTTGTAATACTGATTTAGACTATACTGCCATCTGATTGTGTGTACTCTACGACTATAGTGATTGACCGAATTCATAATAAAACAATGTGTGTGTGTTTGTGTGTGTGTGTATATATATATATATATTAGGTTTTTGCTATAGGGCACATGTGTTTGCTGGAGAGAGATACAGAGTTACAGAGAGGGAAAGTGAGAAACCACTTTCCAATTTGGCCACACTGCAATCCATTCTCCCCATTCTTCTCTCAGAATTTTTGGGCATGCACATACACATGCCTGGGTGATTCTCAAGAAGCTGAGTCTGGGATTTGAACTGTGGAGGCAACCATGTGGGATATAGCATCTTAATCCCATACCATCTGCTAGCCCAATAATAGCTACTATTTATTGAGAACTTTGGTTATATTAGTTTGTGACAAATTAGAGGACCAAGGAAAACTTGGTTGTTAATGAGAAGTGGTACTGTAATGAGAAGTTTCTGTAGAGATATTAGTACCCAAATTGATCTATCTAATTGGCCATTCATAAAGCATCTCTAATGAACACCTGGAACAGAACTTGGATTTTCTAAGAGTACTACATCCAGGACCTTCTAATGATGCGAGGGGTCTTTCCTTCCCTCCTCATCCCATGGGAGTTTATTGTCCCTTCTCACCTAAGGTCCTGTCTCCTTCCGGGTCCACCTCCTGAGCCATGCTCAGTGCCTCTGTGGTGGCGATGTCTACATTACAAGGGACCACCACCAAGTTGATTGTCTGCTGTCTCTTGATGTACTTCTTGATGAGGGCCTTGATCTGATGCAAAAACAGATGCACAAAGGCATTACATATGTCACCTCTGGTCACCCAAGAAAACAGTCAGCTGGACAGGTGCAGCGGTTGAAAAGCAATGTGGCCCCAGGGTATGAACTCTGGCTCTTGCCTGTCTAGCCTTACCTGCTTGCTATTGAATTCCTACTTACCTTTCAAAGCTCATCACTTCATTTCTTCCTTCCTGAAGACCTTCTGATTCCTGCAGCCATGTACAACCCTACCTCTTCTCCAAAGCTCACTGGAGATGCCTCAGAGACTCTGCCTTCTATTAGAGTTGTTGGTGGGTGTGTTATATCTACCATAAAAACCATACCATGCCTTTATGGCCTTTGGTGGCATCATATTTATCTCTGCATCCCATTCAGAGTCTAGCATAGTGCTCCAACAGAAGTGTGGGGAGGAACCAGGCCTGCTTATCATGTAGTTCTTCTAGACATTTATCCTTAATATTGATGACTTGTTACTTGCCATTTGTTCTTGGAAAGGGTCTATCTCATTCCAATTAGAGAAATCCAATAATATTGCTTAGAGTTTGTAGACAAAGGAGTGCTGTGGGCAACATCAGTCTTAAAAATACTAATTTCCCAAGTTATTTTTCTCTACAGACAATACAAACAAACAAATAAGACAATGGGGCTGGCTTTATAGCATAGTAGTTAAGAGTAGCCAGATTGCATGTGGTCAACTAAGGGCAGCCACGTTTTAATTTGACTCTAGTTGAGTTCCCAACACTGGCAGTGTCATTCATCAAAAGGTTTTCTTGGATAGTGTAGAATCTAGGCACCCCAGGATAGATGGTGTTCTTCAGCAACCTTGGGTTTAAGTGGGAGGTCATTGGCACAGAAATACAGGCTTCACCCCACACGTGTCCTTGCTGTCACTGTGGCCCTCAGCCCTCTCCACCGTGTGGGCCTTTCCTAACCCATCCATGTTTCCACAGCTTTACAGTGTTCATTTCTTTTAAAATGTTGCTAGGGCCAGCCCTGTGGCCTGGTGGTTAAGGAACCCAGATCCCACATGGTTGACTGTGGTTCAAATCCTGGCCCAGGTAGCTTGAAAAACATGCTGGGAGTATGTATGTACAGACCCCAAATTCCAATAGGACAGGGAGATGGAGAAGGGACTGCAGCATGACTACCCTTTGAGAAATGCTTTCTCTCTCTTCCCCTCCCTCTCCCTCTGTCTCTCTGGCAAATAGATAAATCCTCTGGCAAGTTTAAAAAGTAATGTTGTTAAAGACTTCATGGGAAAATCCAAACCTCTGGCCTTTTTGACCTTAAGGATTGCTGATATCAGAGGGCAGGCCCACATTCCCAAATGGCCCCCTGGACAGGGCCTGAGCTGTCCTGTGCACCTGTCAGCAGCCCTGAGTCTACCTGGGCGGTTCTGCTCCAGACCCCTCCCGCCTTACTCAGTAAGTATAAAGGCTCAGAGAATTACCCAGAGTCCTTGTGGCTGCAGGCAGGGAGCTCCGGCACCTCCCCCACTGCAGGCTGGCCCGTCCTGCATTCCTAAAAGGCTTACCTGCAGGCTAATGTCCTGGGGCTGGTTCCCCAAGGCCACTCTGGTGATGCCAGGAAGATCAATGAGGGTCAGGTCCGGAACCTCAGGGGAGGTGATCTCCAGGGTAATGAGCTCATGGCTAATGCCAACACCAGACCCAGCTATGATGTTTTGCGCTATAGAGGCCAAGAGGGAAAGAACTCAGGGTGTGAATTAATGACCTGCCCTAAAAGAAGTGTTTGTTCTCAAAGCTAAGTGACTACTTATTTTCAGGCTATAGAAGCTTCAGAAAGTCCCTAGTGCTTAGACAACATTCCATAGAAGCCTGCATCATGACCTTGGAAGCTACCAAGATGGCTGTTTAAAATGTAGGTAACACATACATATACTTTCCAAAAGACTGGAGGGAGATACAGCAACTGGTTAGCACTCAGACTTGACCATTGAAAGCCTCTGTATCCTCAACAGCTCCCATCTTCTTTCCCCTCTCAGAATTGGCCTTTAGATCAACCAGGGATCAGAAGGTGTAAATCCTGGGATCTCAGGTTATAAGATCATCCCTCCAGCATCCTTGCCATGTCACCACTGAACCTTCCCTTCCATTGCTGTAAGCTCACTGGGTGATAACCAGTGATATCCTGCTTGATAACCTCTCTGAACTGGGCAGAGGATCCACCTATCTTCCCAGAATGCAAAGCTGTTGTTCAAGAGTCCCTGGAAAGATGTGGTCGTGCCCTGCAGGGGTGCCATGGACACTGTAAATTGCCTCAGCGCCTGTACCAGGGGGACCTCAGGGGGTTCCCCCAGGAATCTGCTGAGATTGGAAGAAGAGCGCTGATGTCTCCCCGGAGCACCAGCAATGACATCTACAGGAATTATATATTTCACCTGCATTTGGAGACAGCTCCATTCTGAGGAACAGAGAAGCAGATTAAATAACCAAGTTAGTTGCCTTATTCCTTAAAGACCAGTGAAAATCCAAGTTATTTCCTAGTATTTTCTGCTATATCATTTCATAGTCACTATTTAAGGCATGTTTTTTTCTAGCTTTTTATAGAATGTGACATAGGTACAAAAAAGTACCATTGTCCCAAGTGTGTGGCATGCTGGGTATTTCCAGGTTGACCACACAGCCATAACCAACACCCATGTGAAGAGATAGGACATGGCCAGTCCTGGAAGTTCCTTGAGGTCCCTGCTAGCCACCAACCCCCACCAAGAGGAACCAATGTTCTGACCTTCATAATGTCCATTACTTTTGCCTCTGTTTGTACTTGATGGAGCCAAATGAAATTGGTGACATATGACGGTTTTGAACTATAAGAATAGTATTTAAGGGTGTCCACTGAACTGCAACCTAGACCATCGTCCTGTATTCCTTTGCCTATGGGTTCCTTTGCTCAGCATCAGAAGATTCGCCCACACTGTTGCTCATAGTTGAGGCCTAGTTGTCATTGCTGGTGTCATTATACCCTGGATGCATGTGACAATGGACATGAGGGTAGTTTCCCTTTGGTTCTCTGACAGCATTGCTAGGAACAGTCTAGAAGCTGTCCTTTGGTTCACACACTCAGAACCAGAGTCAAGGATAGTTACAGCGTGTTCATACCTACAGCTTGGGTGGAGATTGCCCAACAGTTTTCCAAAGTGAGGCACCTACTTACATTCCTTCAGGAATGGAAGGTGTTCTGAGGTGCCATCCTAAAAATGCCTTAGCTATGGTTGCTCATTTCTCATCCTTTCACAAAGCTTTACCAACCTGCAGTTACTATGGCATGCTGATGCACTGCTACAGCACCATGGTCACGGCCAGTACACAGCCTCCCAGCCCAGCCCCAGAGCTCCCAGCTGGAAGGACTCAGGCGGTGGTCAACACATACTGCAAGATGTCCCAGGACACCCTGGCACTGTGGGAAGCTTGTGACCAGAATCTCCAGCAGCTCCTGAATTCAGGGGTGAATACTAGACTTTGGGGCAGGACTTCCCTCTGGAGAGTCTTATGAAACAAGCAGATGGTAATTCTGAAGAAGAAATGAGCCAGGTATCTAACAGCCTTCCCCTCAGAATGCTGAGTTTGCTCTTCAGTAGTGTCTGGAACGGCGCTCATGGCAGCATTGAAGTGCATCCTGGGTTATTTTTTTGCCTGTCTGGGAGAAGCCCAGGGATGGGCAGTGAGGAAGAGGAGAGAAGCCTGGGAGGGAGAGTGCATGGGCTCCAGCACCAGGGTGGGCAGAGCTGTGCACTCAGAGGGGTGACCACCAGGGCCCTTCTGGAGGGCCGGGCTATGGGCTCCAGGAGCAGTGGAGTGTTTTATAATTCTGTCTTTGTTCAGTGGTGGGTGTTGGCTGTGCTCCCAGGTCTGTGTTTGAGGAGTGCCTGCAGAGCCCAGCCAGGGTTAGCTCAGAGCCCCAGGAAGACAGGGGTGGCTATAGGAGCTAGGCAGTGGGGTGGGGCCAAAGTCTTGCTGTGGGGGCTTCCAGGAGGAGGGGTAAGGAATAAATAGGAATGGGACCGGCAGTTAGTGTAATGGCTATGTCGCTGGACTCTCACGTAGTCGACCGCAGTTCAAGTCCTGGACCCAGTGGCTTAAAACTTATGCTGGGCACGTGTGCGTGCATGCCCAAGATCCTGAGAAGAGAATGGAGGAGAAGGGATTGCAGCGTGGCCATACCCCCTGGGGGATGATTTTTCTCTTTCTGTCTCTCTGTCTCTGTCTGGCGAGCGCACGCGCCCTATGGCAAACACCAAACAAACAAACACTCTCCAAAAAAAAAGAATAAATAGGCATTAGGTGGGTGAAGAGAAGGGAGAGCTCCTGAGGCTATGGGACCAGCCTGTGGAAAAGCCTAGAAGGAAGAAAAAGTGTATTCTTGGTGGAGTAGAAGAAGCCCTGAGCTGGGAAGGAGAGAGGAGAGAGATGGGGCAGGGCAGTTACATGGTTGCCGGGCCACTGAGGAAGCCACGTGGATGTCTTTAGCTTGGAGGTGAACAATAGGGGCAACCTGTGGTGGGGGTCGTGTATTGGGTGGTGGTGGAGGCCACCACCAGAGGGGATGGGGTGGTGATAAAAAGGAGAAGCTGGGAACAGTGAGGGGAACAGAGGCCACAGGGGGCCTACCTTTGCAGATCTCCGCCTCCACCTGGGTGGGGTCTCCGAGCTTCTTCTCTGTGTTTCGGTATCTGATCTTCCCCCTCCACACTGGCTCCTGGGACTGCTTCATCAACTTCAGCACTAGCGGGCACCTGGTGACGATTCCTGAGAGAGCCCAGTATCCTAAGTCTCTGTCGTAAAGCTCGTTCGTCCCAGCACCTGCCCTCGTGGCCCCAAAGACCTGGTTGGAACTTCTCAGCCCTTTCTGGGTCCCCC